AGAGAGAGAGAGAGAGAGAGAGAGAGAGAGAGATTGCATAATAATCAAGGAAGTGATAATTTTATTTCCATTTAATTTTTTAGTATTTTAAAAATAAGATTTGATTAAATTGGATGCAAATTCAATATATGCTAATATTAGGATCAGGGTTTATTATATCTTAAAAATTAATTTGGTATTGTATTTACATTTTATCGTATGTGGGATTAATTTTATTAATATTTAATTAGATTTAATATTCTATTCACGATAGAAATTGTGCATAAATTGCATAAATATTTGTGAAATAAATAAATTTGTGTTATATTTACATAATTATTCATAAAATGAACATAAAATCAATGAAAATATTTTTATTCGTCAAATTTTTATGATATTATTGGTAAATACTATAATTGATATAAAAGTTATATAACCCTTTTATTACAAAATACTTAAATAATAAACAGCTTTTATTTCTAATATAACAGGAATTTAATGATAAATTTATAGAGAATTTAATTACATAATAATCAATGATTATTTGATCATTGATTTAAACGAGTTATATATACAATAAATCTGTAGACATAATCACTACTAAATATTACAAAACTTGTTGAATGAAATCACAACTAATTTGATATCCCTTTCAGCGGATTGTTTGATGAGATGATTGGAAAACAACAAAATTTTGATTTATATTAAATTAAATTATAGTAAACACCAAATTATGTTCACTCGGTTTTGACCTTATTTTTGAAATTTTCACTTTATTTAGTGAACAAATAAAAAATTATAGTTATTATCGCACAAACATTTCTCTCTCGTGTTTTTTATCAATAATTATTGTCAACAAATTTTCTCCGCTTTTGTGTTCAATTCTACTTTATATGAGGGCTTAGAAAGTATTTATTGATAATTTATTAGAAAAATTATCATGTTTTTTAAATTACCAGATAATATACATGTAAATTAATCTACAACATTAGTTTGTAACTATGATCTAAAATAGTGTTTAGTGATAATTTGTATATTGTTGAAATAATTTTATAATAGTTGTAGTATAATTTGCCATATATTATGGTTACTTCATTACACCCATCGTTACCTCGTTTTCCTGTTTTAATGAACATTTTATTTGCTAAAAAATATATTAAATATATAAAATTAATATCGTTTAATGACAACCATTAAAAGCTAAAGTTATTTATTATACACAACACGGCTATAAACTGATTGAACTGTATTTAGTTATAGTTTTTAATTCAATTAGGGTTTTAATGATCCGAAAGTATGATAAAGTTTTTGTAGATAAAAAATTAAATTACAATTCATTTTAATTAAACTTTTTAAGCGATTAAAAAATCAATGAGTTTTTTATATGAAAACATAATTACATTTTTAACTATAAAATATTGTTTACAAAATCAGTTTAAAAATTTTCATTAATTTGTTTTCGTTTATATGAAATTATAAATTTCATAATTAATTAATTGATTATTGAGTTTATCATCAGATCTAGAGATTTTTTAACTATAAAATATTGTTTACAAAATCAGTTTAAAAATTTTCATTAATTTGTTTTCGTTTATATGAAATTATAAATTTCATAATTAATTAATTGATTATTGAGTTTATCATCAGATCTAGATCTATAATTAAAATAATTATTCAATTAATGCTTTTTGATTCATAATCTAATATACCGGTAAAATTTAATGAGTTTACCATATTTATATAATAATCGATTTGTTACTAAAATAAATAAAATATTTTATTAAAATCTATTAATCAATTTAAATATATATAATTTGAATATTTGATACAATCTTAACATAAATATAAAACAGAGCTATTGTTTAAAATTTCAATTAAATTGATTTTATGGACAAATAATCGGTGAAGAAGAAAATGACTACAAATGGTGGTGTGGTTTAAGTGAGTGCTGTGACCATCGGATTACCACATTCTAAAGTGAAACCCAAACACTGGAACCGTGTTCTTCGTATTGGGCTCTCGTAAAGAAGTGGCTCTCCAACTGAGGAGTGGAGGTCAACATTGAGCCGCCGAACCACACGGCGTATCGTTGCGTGTGATGTGAGACCACTCGCACTTCCATCGGATCCGCTCTTCTGTTTGCTATTCGTTGGATGTCTCGCTGTAGCCGTCGGCCAAAGTTCTTAAACATTGTCGAACCGCCCGATAGAACAATATTCTGGACAAAACGACAACAACAATCATCAGTAAATTTGTGATCTCAACTCAAACAGTGATTAACACAAATGCATACCTTATAGAGAGCGGGTCTCACATTAATGGGACAATTCTGGATACAGTTGTCCACCGTTTCGGACAGAGGGGTCGCGGACTCCGGACTGAACAACAATTCGGGCCCTAAGAAGCGCTCGAAACGGACGTCCACTTCAAACGGCTGTTTAGTGATGGCATTCGTGGCGCTATACTTCTTCATCCACTCGTTTGGGTTCGAGTAATACCTCTCAAACTCTGTGTCGATGTCGGGACACACGTAACAGAACTGCTCTTTAATGGCTTCGGCCGTCGCTAACGACTGAGTCGGAGGAATAGCGGACTCGCGTTCGCGCAAAACGTTTTGTACGTATAAAGTGATGTGACGGCCGGCGATAGAAATGTGTTGAACGCAACTCTTGATCACATTGTGGTCGACCACTGGTGTGCAATGTGTGCCGCAATCGCCCGATTCGATGATAATGCCGGTGGACTCGCGTTCGTCCACTTCTTGTGACGCCCACGAGGCGATCAAAGCCAGCACCGGCTGTGCGGCGATACAAAGGCCGGGAACGCTGAACGACTCGAACATTATTTCGGCCATAGATTCACAATTCTCGGGTGTATTGAGGGGCGGATCCGCCACCAAGAAGTAGTGATCTTCCGGTTTAGTCTTTAAGTACTTGTAAATACACTCTTCCCAATAGAGCCTCATTAGGTCCCAGTCCTCCACAACGCCGTGTTGTATGGGATACTAATCGGGTGTAAGCGTGGGGTCAATGAGTGGGTTAGGGGTGGGAATAGGAGTGGACAATACCTTCACGGTGTGCGCCGATTGGCTGAGCGCCTCCTCACCGACTGAGACGTCGATACCAATGGTCAGCCGTCTGTCGGCCTCATCGCCAACATTGGGCTCCTCTTTGATGGCAACGACCGATGGGATGAACTCAGGCTTATTATTGCTGGAGAAACCCAATTTGGTGTACCTGTCATTCATAGGGTGGACGTGAATATGTGATGATGTGATGATCACTGCATACCCGGTGCCGCTGTCGATGACAATCGCTGGCAAACGTCCGGCCATTGAATGTGTTTTGTTGGCAAACGTATAGACAATTGAATTGAATTTAAAGACCTTAAAGAGAAACACTATAAACACAATAATTTGCATAAATGTTCAATATTTTCATAAATTATGTTTAAAACAAAACTTTAATTAAAATAAAAGTTTAGAAAAAGTTTTGATAGAATTAGTGTTGAAAAGTGTTGTCAATAGAGAGAGCAGTCATTCAGTGATTGCCTTCACTTTTGAGCACATGTTTTGTGTTTGGCTTTCAATTCATTTGTTGTGAAAATTGAATTCATTTTATCATTAGTTTTATTAATTAGTGTTTGTTTTCGTCATTTAGTTATTCATTGCAATCAATATATCAAACAATGTCTGCAAAGAAGACAAGAGTTGGTCTCAGGAGTGACACAAACACCAGAAGAATGTCTTCAGGAAGTGATACTAACACCAGAAGAATCACTTTCAAGAGTAATAAAAACACCGGAAGAAAAACTTTGAGAAATGACACAAACACTAGAAGAATATCTTCAGGAAGTGATTCAGTGATGAAGACATCAAAAGAGAGTTTTGATAGATTTGGTGATGATTTGTGTCAACACTTATTGTCTTATCTCGCATTTGAAGACCGATTCAGATCTGAATGTCTGTCCAAACAATGGCAGCGATTGGTATTCACCACACAAACGGGTCTCAAATTGTATGACAGCTCTGTTTCTGGTATTGAAATGAATGCAAAAATGTTTGAATTGATTGTTAAAAAGTGTGAAAACATTAAATCAATTGAATTCAATGAATGCGATTATCTGTTGAATAAACCGAAGTATAACTCAATTATAAAACATTGCAATCATTTGAATGCCATTTATTTCTGGCAAACGGCAAAAGTGGATATCTTTAATAAATTGTTGGCAAAGTTTGGCAAACAATTGAAATCAATTGGATTTGATTTAAATAACAATAATTTGATCAAAAATGTAAAATTATGTCACAATTTAATACAAATCCATACAATTAATAATTCATTGTATTTATTAACTAATAATGAAAATAACATTTCATTTCCAAGACTACAGAAAATTACATTTTATTTCACCGATAAATGTGTGAAAAGTATCGATAGTTTTGTGAATTATAAAAATAGTTTGAAATCAATTGATGTCGTGATTGAAAGCAATGACAAGAAATCAGTGGAAATACTAATGAAATGTTTGTCACAAATGAATGCATTAATTGATTTGAAAATTAAGTTTTACCACAGGAATGAAGTTGTGGTGACTTTAATTGTGAACGGATTGAAACAAATTGGTATCAATTGTCCGAAACTCAAGAGACTGTCATTGGATGTGTCCATTGAAGAGGAATCTAATATTAAAGTCTTAATGCAAACAATTAATGAATGCTTTACACAATTAAAACGCTTAACAATTTCTGGCACTTTTTGGGAACCGTATATTATCACAAAGAAATCGTTGAATAAATGCAAACTTTTAACACATTTAAACATCCGTTCAGTGAATGTATTGTTTTTCAAAAATATTGATCAGTATTTCCCAAAACTTGAGTATATTTCGTGCCAATTAACTAATTTCCGTCTCATAAGTACTGAACCATTGGATTCATTGACAAAATTGCCAAATTTAAGAGTGATTTCAATCTATGGTCTCCGAGAAGTTACACAAACAGTTTGCAACGATCTCCGCCACAAATGTCCTAAAATTAGTTCAATTAAATTAAGGAACTATTATTAATATATTAGTGTTAATGTAGGCATTAAATCAATAATTAAAATGCAATTTTTTTTATTAAGATTATACTAATTATTAATTTGTAATAAAATGTTGATTAAATGCATTATTCGCACGATTTATATACTTTTCATTGTATTTGAATTCAAAAATAATTCAGTTATTTATTGACAAAAAGTGAACACAAATTGTATTGAAAAACAATTCTGAACCATAAGTGAGACATAGAGTGGACTTAAGATGAGCTATGATTTAGTGTTGAGTTATTACAAGAGTTTTTGCACTAAAATTTCTGATTTGAGCCAATATTTCGGCGAAGACTCGACTTTTTTCTTTGTCGAAGACATCGGCAACACTTCCATCGCTTTCGGCAAACAAGAGATCGTTAAACAAATTGAGGACCAGTTTTGGTCATCGGATCTCTCATTAGTCGCGTATAACATAAATATAGAGCACAAGACTCTGACTGCGAGTCCGCAGACCACAGGAGGAGACAGTTGTCTGACTTCGGGGACGACTGTTGTGGCGGTCGTAGTGTTTGGGACTATAAAAGCCATTCACTCTAACGAAGACATCGAACTCACGAAACTGTTGGGACAGAAGTTCAGCCAAACATTCCTTATGTATCGCATC